TAAAAATGCAAGGGATGCCCAAAATATAAAGTAGACAATTTCAGAAATGCCGCAGTAACAGCATCAGCACCCTAATGTTATAAATAGGTATAAGAGATGCAAATTACAGGTTGGTTAACAGTCACCAAAGAACTTTTGATTGAATTGCTAAGAAAGATGGACCCAGGAAAAAAACCAAGCATAGTAGGGCTAGTTTCATAGAAAAAGTGCAAACGCTTACTATCATGTTATGTTTGCTGTCTGTGGCAAACATTGTGTAGAATGGCTGTAAGCGAAAAGTGTATACATTTTTTTGAAGGGTGTAACTTTATCTGTCACGAACAGAGCAAAGGAAAAACCTTGATGGTCTACAATAAGACCACTGTTGAATAAGACCATTGCCACTGTACTGAAATATTCAGGACTCGTGGCAACTTTGCTGCATTTAGTGCAGAAAATGATATGATTCCTTTTTCACTCTAAAAATGGTAAGACTTCCATATTTTTCCTTCTGGGAGCATCTTTCTAAGCTCGACCTTACATTCACTTCTAATACTTTTATGCGAACTTTTTAAGGATACGCAGTTTTCGGAACACTTTTCTTTCTTTGCCGACTGGTGAGGAGAATTCTTCAGTTAAGTAGACTTTTATTATTTTTTATTAATACCGTTATTGAATGGTTCCCATTTATTAAATTAATTTCTAATAAGAACAAAATTTGTCTTAATTTTACTCAAATACTTTTTTTTAAAAAGAATAGGAGTTTTAAACAGAACACGGGTCAAACACATGATGTCCTTTGTATTTTGCTCTGTAACTTGAAGCTTTTAGTATACATAAAATTGTAAATTATCCTATTATTTTTATGATGATTTAAGATTAGAAAATCTCCTTTTTAAATCACTTTACTTGTTTTCGTCTAAAATATTCAATAAAACTTAAATAAGAAGGGAACCTTATCGTAAATTTCTTACCAAAATTCGAATTTAAGACACTTTATTACTTATTTGATTATTGATTTAGCTACATAAAACTATTAGAAATGCTTTTTGTTCATAAACTTAACTTTATATTTTCATTTGTATATTTTAACTTTGAATTGATATGTGTATTTTCCAAAAATTTTCATTATCTAATGAATGCTTTGAAGCAGATGGGGCAACTCTGTCTCTTTTATATATTTTTTCTGACGTACTGATTACATGAAAAATATATTTTGATTTAATTTTTATTATAAAAAAGCAATCTAATAATTACTAAATCTATTAGATTATAAATCGTATAGATTATCAGATTTGAAACTTTTACAAACAGCAGCAAAAATTAAAATAATAGATTCGATTTAATCATTTAAAGATCTTTCTCACAAAAAATTAAACATCTGAACTACTATTATAATTTACTACATACTAGTTATTTTCAGTAAGTTTTATATACATCCTAACGATGTTCTAGTAAATTTTTAAAATACGTTTAAAATTACAAAAACTATAAAAGAACATTCTTAAAACTTACGAAAAGGTCTCGGATGTTCTCTGAGCTGCTTTTGCCAGTAATTAATCAAAGCAAAGCGATACAATTCACTCATTTTAGTAAAGTTTGAAGCAATTTGTCAAAAAGACGCTATTCATTCAAAATGGCTTCAATAAGAATGATTAAAAAGTGTTTTCTTAAAGACTAATTTTATACATTGTTGCTTAGTACAACAAAGGTTTTTTCGGTAAATGAGTTTTATTAAGAACCTTTCAACAATGTCTAACAATACACATTTTGATTACATTTTCCAGAGTATTGTTGGAAACATCTTTAAATTTAGTTGTTCTAAACAATGAATAAAATATTACAAATAGAAATGTATAAAAAAAAAATAGTCCACATTATTCTTTAAATTTTTCTTGATTAAAATATATAACCAATAATATACAAAATAAAAAGAATATTTGAAATAAATGCATGTACTTGACATAATCGTGTATTATTACGTAGGCAATACGATAATGACGTATCTTGTACTATCTTATTGCAGCATTTAAGTTATTTGCATGTCTTTGTGATGCAAAATGAATATTCACGCACGAATAAAAAATAAAATAACATAAATTAAATCAAAATATCGGGTCTGACATCACTTAAAAAAAGCTTCCTAAATTAACTGTAAAATTTTATTACAGTGATTAAACCGTTGATCATGATAATAAGAAGTAAAAATATAAATAAAATAAAATAAAAAAGAAAGTCACAAATTGACAAATGTGTTATGGTCATATGTTTTTTAAAGTAAATTCTTCAAAATACCAAGTATGTAATTTTTCTTTCGAAAAGAAAAAAAAACTTAAATTAAAAATCCTTAATTAAAAATTTAACCAGACCATTAATACTACAGGTAATAGAGCACAGAAACTGTGGTTTCCTAGAAGAGAGTTGCTGAATTTTGCACCTTTATGTTCTTAAGTGCTGAGCATTAATCAGCATTTTGCAACTAATTTTTTTCCTGAAAATATATTTTTTCTAGGAATAACCTTCATAATCCAATGTTTTGCAAATAGATTTTTTAGTTTAAGATGGAAAATTTCTGAAGGCATTTTTGAAAACTACAGAACATTTCCTGCAAATTTTATACCTATAAGTGTCCGTAGGTAGCCGTGGTGTCTCAGGAGATAGAGCCTTTTCTTTCCAATGAGGTAAACCGGGTTTGAATTCTAGTGATGACTGATCAATGCAAATACATCACTCGGCTAGCACCGACCACAACGCTGACGTAAAATATCCTCAGCTGTAGACGAATCATGGGTTAGAGAGTCCCCTTTCCATCAAGCTAACCGTGGGAGGTTTGGGTGGTTCTCATCTCCACTTAGCGCAAATGCGTTTTAATTACATCAAAAAGTCCTCTCAAAGGCCCCAATCTCTCCTAATATTTGATCCAGGAGTTGCTTTGGAGTCTTAATTGGGTTCAAAATTGCAAGGCTACGTAGGTGAACATTAGTAGTCGTAAACCCAAATATGGAGTCGACTGTTCAACGGCGGTCATAAAATGAAATAAAAAACATTTAAATGACGTTCTTCTCAATACTTCAACGGGAAAAATACAGGAAAATAATTGATGCAGGTTTGAAATGTCTAAAGAATTCTCTTGTTGAATCTATTTTGTATAAAGAAAATATATCCACCCCCTGAGGAAAGAACCCCCCCCCCCCCTACAAAAATCATAATCTTTCTTGACCTTCCAATTTTTGGGAATCCAAAAACCTATATTTTTGTAGATCTTTTCAATTTCAGATTTTTTTCTCGCCCTAACTTCGACCACACCTGCTTTATTGCTAAAAAATTTAATAATTTTTGGAAAAATTGTTAGGAAAAAATCATAGAATATTTTCAAAAGTGTTTTCAGCAAATTTGCTTCTGTATTTCTTATCGCATACTTTATATTTGATCCATCTACTGCACTGTTAGAATTTTCATTCAAAAATGTCGGTAAAATAACCGGCAGCAGTTTTTCCATGCAATTAACCGTAAAGTTTGCGGTACAGAATATTGTTTACCTTTACGGTTTTGAAACCATTTACAACTAGTATGGTTGAGTGAATAAAGTATCCATATAATTTATATGCAAACCTGATATTACATTTTTCATGAAGGCACTTTCCCAGTTACTGCAAACTAAGAGTCTGGCAGGTAAACGGTTAATGTAGGCATCCGTATTTGTATCTAAAATCAATGGATAGTGATTTGTTTAACACTTAAGTAAAGGTAACAAACGAAAAACAATAATCACTTGATATAACCAAATATGTACTACCAAGTCTTTAATTCATAGAAGTGTCCAGTTGTTTCAGTTTGTCGGAGCTTTATTTCTAGTAGTTTTATTTTATATTATAACCGTCGTTGAGCAGCCGACCTAATAATTTTGGGGTTTACGACTACTAATGTTCAACTACGTAACCTTGTCATTTTGAACCTAATCTAGAAAACAAGGAAACTCTTGAATCAAGGATTGGGAGAAAGTTGCCTTCACTTTTTGATGGAAATTACCCACATTTGCATTACAAGGAAAGGAAGACAACGAGAACCTCCCACGGTTAGCTTGACAGCAAGGGGACTCTAACCCATGATCCGTTTACCACTGAGGATATTTCACATAAGCACTGTGGCCGTATGCGGAATTCATATCGACAATCCATCCCTGGGATTCGAACCCGGTTCACCTCATTGGAAGGCGAACGCTCTATTCCCTGAGCCCTCATGGCTCATTTCTAGTAGTAGCAAAATTTATGTTTCAGTAGCGATTGTTCTTGTTTTCTAGTGGTGCCATCTATGTCTAAGAATTCGACTTCTGTCACACCCGTTTATAGGGCGAACCCATTCATACATCTATTCATTCATCCACAGATCGTAATTTTGATCTGAACCAGAGAACGATCTCCAATACAGTACCCCCCAGAGGTATAGTTTGTTATGGGAGCATGGAGGACTTTGTGTTAAGGCGGATTTAACGTGCACCAGTCACCATTTACTACACGGAGGGTCTTCGGCCGGCTGCATTTCTCAAGAACGTGAGTTCAGCTCCGTGCCAACTAGCCTATCCCTGTCCTTCAATGCATGTATCTTAATTTAATAATATATCTCAAACGTAATAATCACTTCTTATAGATAACTGGTGTTTTTCACATACAAAAATTTTTTATTGAAAGGGCATTAATGATTAATTATAATTGCAAAACATATTTGAATTAGAACTTAAATCCATGCTTTTGTTTGATTTTCTGCAAGAACATTAGTAATAAAAGTTTAATAACATATTATTTGAAGAACAAAGTTACATGGTTAGAATTATTTTATTTGTTCATATGCTGTAGTTGCTCTTTATGTGACGATCTATAGAAAATAGCCGCATAAATTACATTAAATTTCCCTTGCATACATAAAAGGCAAATTTCAGATGTAATATTATTTTATTTATGACTCATAATCAATAAAAATAGCTACGATTGAAACAGAGCTTTCTGTAGGCAGGGAAAAAATATTTTTTTAATGTTTATGTAGAATATCTGAAATTCCTGTAATCTCTGTTACTTTTTTTTCTTTTCTGTTTCAGTATAAATAGTGAATTTTTACTTAAGGAAGGTGTATGTTATTTCAGTAGAGTCCCGACATGAATTCCAAACTTTGCTTATTTCTTGTTGTTATTGCCCTTTTCGCTGCTTTAGGTAAGATACTTTTATTTACAAATTATACCTTTACTAGGGGACTAATCCCTCTGTTCGTTGACGCGCTCCAACCCCGATAATTACCAAACGATAATTGTTGGGGGTGGGGGGTTTCTACGAAAGTTGATATTATTCTCTTAAAATATATGCATGAAAAGGAATTCTGTTTGCTTACGCTAGTGCTCAAACTTCCCACATCCAAATAATTCCCTTCTGTTTCATTAAGGAACATAAGTAATTTTTCAAAGTAATCATTTTTTGATTCATTAAATACGTGATTCCATTAAGATCTATTAAGGAACATAAATAATTTTTCTGAATAATCATTTTTTTTAAAATATCCTTTTAAATTGAAAGTATATTGCTGTAACAAATTTGAAGAGTTCACAAGCGTAATTTAATATTTTCGCTTACCAAACGGAAGGATATCTTAAATACAATTTTTGCAAGCATCACATTATGCATGAAGCTTATCATCGAGTTCTAAATCATTCAGAGAATATTTTTAATTGTAATTTTTAAAATAATATAATGTTGTAAATATAATTATTGTAAAAGGATTGGACACTCTGATTTCATTGACATGTTATAGTAATTTTAAAAAAAATTTATCTTAGTTTTAAACTCTTCATCTAGGAAAAAATCAAAAGTGTTATAGTGGTGGTATAGGAGGATTTTCCAAAATATTTATAGGGAAACAATTACCTTAGTGATTTTGATTAATTTTATGCTGGTGACAATTAAAACAATATAGAAATCAATGTGGAAAAATAGAATTCTATCATGTGATTTTTAGGCCTTTAAAATTGCACCGGCAATAACAGAAAACTGTGCCAGACCATTGTTTTTATGTTATAGAGAGATTTTCTGAAAGGTATTATTCAATAGATCTAAGAGCCGATAATAGTTGTACATATAGGATTACTTCGTTTTCTTGTCAAGGATTTAAAATAAGCTAAGTTTTAATTTTAATTCTAAGTTAATTATGAAAATTACTTTGATTTAAATTCACTAAAAACTGCAATTGGGTACTTGCAACTCACGAAGAAGACAATCACAGATACTCTGACACGTGACCTGTGACTTCAGCACCAACTGATAACTGTTAAAGAAGATGGCGTGTTAAAGTCCAGCTAATTTCTCCACATAATTTTGAATGTTAATTGACTTGAAATGAATTAAATACAATACGTATCACACATCAAATTTGCAAAAATTCAATTCTTCCTCGTCTACTTCTTTCACTTAACTTAGATTTATTATTTGTTTATGTATTTTATTGTAACCGTGATACATTTTTGTTTTGTGTACCTGGCAACTTTGATGCATAACTAATTTGTTTATGTTCCACATAACTAAATAAGAATGACTTATACTATGAATACATGACTAAATATGACTTTGTTTATGCTCTACGTGTCGTACCTGTTTTTGTGTTAAGCTAGAAACATGCGGTGAAAGAAATGAAATCTTTGTGAAAGTATATAGAATGTGTCACTAATGATAATTGATACTCGGTACGCTTGGATTACTCGAAATTAAATGGGAAGAACAAGTTGCTTACGTAAACAAAGGCCTCGTTTCAACCACCAATCAGGATCAAGATACCCATATTGCCTTCTCTTGTCTTAAACTTGTCTGAAACAGCTTTTGGCACGCTCCGCTTGCTTTTCTTTTATAGCTGTTTTATTTCCTTTCATAAGTCGATATTTTTTTATAAAAAATCTTTTGTAAATCAAACATATAATTATCATGATTTTATGCAAGAACATTTCGTTAATACTTCAATCTTAATCAAACGATTTGAAAAAGAAAGAACTGTACTTGGGAAATGAATTAAAGTAAGGAATACAAAATGTGTGACACAATAAGATAAAATAAGTAAGATGTAAATATACTCGATATAGATACATAATGGTAACATTATGTCATAATATCAATTCAAATAAGAAACGGTTTTTATATCTCTTAGTTTCTTGAATTAAGTTTTTTTTAAAGATGTTCTTAAAAATTATAATATGAATATTAAAACGTAATAAATGTCAACATCTCTCTCTCACTCTGTCTCTCTCTCCCACTTTTGTTATTTAAGACATCGAGTCAAGCGCAAATATATAAATAAAAGGATAGTATGAAATAAAGATCTCGAAAAAGATAAATTTCTTAGAAAAATCGATAAGAATTCATTTTTAATACAAAAAAGTGAAGAAAAAAATGATAAAGAGGCACAAAAACTTTCAATAACTTTCAAAGAAATTGAAAATCTCGTGTAACGGTCAAAAGTAGAAATGAATTTTTCAGAACGTTAAGTTTCAATTCTGTACTTGTATTTTTGCGAACTACCAATTGGACCACATGTTTTTTTTACTATATGTTTAACAGTTAATAATTCAAGTAACGACTATCAAACATTAATTAATTTTCATTTCCTCGTACTCCCAATAAGTATTTCCACACATCTTCACAATTCCAAGTCTTAGATATTAATGTTTGTAAAAATTGCAACACCGTAAAGGAACAGTCAAAAATGAATGAAATTTATTCCACCTATTACTGATAGTGATACAAATAAATAGTGGTCAAATTCACAATTCAAAAAACAAAAGTTATGCCGGAAATGATTACTTTGTATGTCCTCAGCGCTGAGCTGTGAGAGCCCGTGCACGTCATGGCATTGAATTATACAGGCTCTGAATGTAATCCTGGGGAATAGCATTCCATACGTCTTCAACTTGACTTCAAGTTCAGTCTTACTGTGTACCACAAAAGTTCTACAAATGAGTTGCCGATATATGAAATCCCGGACATGCTTAATAGACGATAGATGCGCCGAATAAGCGTTTTGTGGAAGAAACTAAATCTGTTGTGCACTGAAAAAAGCTTGTGTAGTCTTAGGAACATGCCCACGGGCTTTATCTTGCTGAAATGCAACATCCAAAAGCTTTGAAAATGGAGATGACCACTGGCTTCTCACTCTTATGTATCGATCACTGTTGAGCTTACCCACAATTTGCAGCAGTTAGAATCGACAGTTATATCCAGCAGCTCCCCAAACCATGATGCCATGCATTTGTGTGGTATGACTCTGGATAACACACTGTGGAAGCAGAAGCTTCCCTCTAATACCTCTGACGCGTATAGTTTGTCTGAAGTAAGAACTCCCCAAGCCATTTATCTTGACCCGTGGAGATGACTATGGTAATGAGGTATAACTATTTCAAGCAGAGGTGTGGGGTCATTGTTTAAAATATGTTTTGACTCGGGAGAGAAAGGGACTCTTTTTCTTCGGTCTATTTTGTTAACCCAGTGAAGAGAAGCTGCCCTTCCTGAAATGCTCTATTCTTGTTTCCATAGCAGCAGTTCATACTGTAGACAAACTATACTTCCACATCATTGTACATTGTAGCGTGACTCATCGGAGAAAGCAACTTGTATTCACCATGCACTGAGTTGCTGAGCACGTTGAAGTCGGAAGCGTCTTGTGATGCAGCGACAGAGGAATCCTGCATAGAGGAAGCCCTGCACGTAGTTGATGATGCAGAAGGCAGCGTGGAACCATGGACAAAAAACAATATCAACCAATCTCCAATGGTTATAGTGCTAATCTAAAAATTGTTTAAGATTTTTAAGAAAATAAGCAGTTCGAAGCAGTTATAAGGAGAAAAAAAGGACATTTTCAGCTTTGTCTTGAATACAGGTCAATCAGTAGGGTTCAATAATGACACCCCCATGCCCATGGAATGGATGAAATGAGAAAAGCAATGGTTAGAGTTTTTGGAAGGTCTGATTATGAGTTAGAACAAATAACAGTTCTAGAACATGTATCAGCTGATAGTCATACTCCCCCCCCACATGTCATCCGAATTACTTCCAAATTTTCAGTTGTTGAGACTTTTGGTGAGATAATTATGATCACCCCTTAAAGGCAGCCAAAGTATGCAAATTTGATCATTAATTATTATTTTCTACGTTCGTAAAAAGAGTAAAAAAATCCCACTAAACGGTTAAAACGATAACTTTAATACTTTTAATGAGACATAATAAAGTTCAAAATAAAAAAAAGATGTTAAAAATCTTCCTAATTTACCCAATTGACCATACTATTTAAATATTTTTGAGCAAAATGGAGTAGTTGTTTCCCATGATACTGCAATCACTATGTTCGGAAAAATTTTGCAAAAATATAAATGTGAAATTTAAAAAAAAAATTCATTCTAATGTATTTATATTTTTTACAGCGACGGCAGGTAAGCAATCATTATCTTAAGTTGTATAACATTTTTAAGGCCTCTCTTTTTAATGCATATATATTTTTACTATTAAATGATAAATTCTAATAAATGGGCATTTTTTTAGATCCAACACTAGGACGTAAGTTGAGTTACATGCATTATTATCTTAGTCCTAATTGTATATGAATTATTCATTTAGTCCTACAAGTATTTTTGTATGTAGTGGTATTACTTATCGTTTATGCAATTATTTTTCAATTTGAGTTAAGCCAATGTAGTCCAACAAAATTAAACTTTTCCTAAGGACAAATTAATAACCAAGATAATTTTTGACAAAAAGCTTTATGTTATCATTAATGATACCTGAAAACACCACAACTCTCTTCTGTAAAATCTTGCCCTTAAAAAAAATGCGGATGATTTGAGGGGAAGAAATAAAACTTCTTTCTAGACAGGTAAGTGATGCATATTAGACATTCTAGACAGGCATTTCTAGACAGGTAAGTGATGCATATTAGACATTCTAGACCAGCATTTCTAAACAGGTAAGTGATGCATATTAGACATTCTAGACCAGCATTTCTTAACAGGTAAGCAATGCATATTAGACATTCTAGAAAGGCATTTCTAGACAGGTAAGTGATGCATTTTTTCGCGTTGAAACAAATGAGATCAATACAATCTGATTAATAAATTAAAAGTTAAAAAAATTCAAAAAATACGAAATTGTACCTATTCAAGCACATAATATTGCTACCCAAAGAAGTGTGACATTGTATCTCTATATTTCTTAAGGCGACTAGAAATGTAAAAAGTGGTAGACGCTCAATTCATATTTATTTATTTATTGTCTATTTAGTTATTCTATCGTAACTACCACTGTGACTTACATTACAAATGATTAATATTTAAATAAAAAATATTCTATGCATTCAATTTCAATAGAAAACTGGAGAAATATGCTAGAAAAATAAAAATTAATTAATGTAAAATTTTAATATCTTTTAATAAAACATTAGTTGCCCCTTTTTCCATTTTTAGTTGCCTGTAGCAACCCCGGCTAGATGATTTAAGACTATGCAAAAGCTCCCGCGAGTCTTGAAATTTTTAAAAAGTAGTAACGAAAATAAAATAAATGTCGCTATTTCAATTTCTGTGTAACCACCACTGAAAATTATTTTCCGAAGAAAGTATATATGCATGAAAATTCCAGCTTGCTAAACCACTCAATGATAAAGTGGTATATTAAAATAAGAAATACATTCTAGCATTAGCCTACATTTACAACCACTACTAAAATTTTTCAAGGACCGCGGGAGCCCTGACAAGACAATCTAACAAGAAGTTCCGAAGTTGCGAGAGTTATTATACATTTAACACAGGGCGGCCAACTTTCTGCTCTTTCTGCAAAAAATTATTCTAGTGGTATCTATGTGTATATTTTAATGTTTTTTTTTGGTTAATAGCGGGCACTCGGCTCTATTTCCTATTGGCCTCAGTAATGCCGGAATTGCTACTCTCTTATCGTTACCCAGTGGGCACCTATGGCTAAGCCACGGCGGTGGAGTAGCGTCGCCCACGTCATGCAACCACAAACCCGTTCATAGGGCGGGTTACATTCACACAATCACACAGAAGAAAGGAAATAGAACACACAGAGAGACAGAAAGCCCTGAGTGGGATTCGAACCCGCAACCATCGGCTCTGAAGTCAGGCACGCTAACCACTCGGCCACCTGGTCGGCTTATGTTTTAATGTTGTGTTTCTTATTCATTTCAATTTTTTTTCACACCTATTTACACAAATAATTTAACAGTTCATACGCAACGCCACTTTGTTCCAGCTCTTTCTTGTGAAGCTTTTAAAATGTTGACAAAATTACTTGAGGCTTTTAATAGTTTTGACCTTTAAATGTCAACCACTCTATAGAATATTTTGCAGAAAGCTTAGTAGTAGGCAGGCCTGTAAACATGCTTTTAACATGTGCAGTGAGCAAAATTAAAAACTGCCGCCATGAATAACTTTTGATTCAATGATCGGATCTTCATGTTCTGGGACTCAATCTTATTTCTCAAGAGTATGACCGCAAAAAAATTAATAATTAGTAATAAAATAATAAATTAATTAATTAGTGTAGACGAAATTTAAGCTACGAAATCAGATTCAAAAACGTGCTCTCTCTGGATAAGCATGCCTTTTAATTCCAGGCAGGTTTGGAATTCGTAATATATGGGTATACGTAATTCTCGACAGATATAGGGGGTAGTCGCTATCTGGGAGATATGGTTCCCATACTTTGGTTAGGAGAGCGATCCATAGTTTGAACCACTTACTATTAATTTTACTTTTTGCGTATTTCGCCATGTCTCGATAAATTTTTATGCGAATTTAAAAGTTTTTGCTCACAATTATAAAATTTGTTTATCCAATGTCAATTCCATGCAAAACATAATTTTTAATAATTATTTATTTTTTTTGTTTCATTATTTGATAATAGTCTAAGAAATTTTCAATTTTAAAGTATACAAACTTTTACATAATTTTAAAGAATGTGATTTTAACAGCAAAATACGAAATTTTAGTCGAATCGGTCTAAATATTTCCTGAGAAGATCAATTTTTAAAATGTCGTGTTTTTGAAATTCGATTTTTCAGGAACTATTCGACCGATTTCACCCATATTTTGTAATTTAAAACTTAAAATTATTTTTTTTTTAAATGATGTAAACATTTTTATACTTCTTAACCTTAAATCGACTAGTCATAAATAAAATAATAAAAATTTCCAATATTTTTTATTTTGCATGGAATTGTGTTTGAGTAAACAAATTTAAAATATTTTTCAATTCGCTTAGAAAGTTCTTGAGATATGGTGCAATATGCAATAATTAAAATTAACTTTAAGGAGTCCGAACTTTGGATTGCTCTATTTACTTTCATACCTAGGAGAAATTTTCAACTCTCCCAGAATGTTTTCCAAAAAAATTAATAAATAAATAAAAAGGAGAGATTACAGAGGAGAATAGGAGAAATTTCAATCATTATATACACAGTCCAGTCACATTAATGTGACCACCACCTACTTTCGACGTCAACGTGAAATAACCAATCACAGAGTGTAGGTGGCAGCACATTACAGTGTAGTGTATATATTGGATGTCCTAGGGCATCTAAAAGCATTTCAGTCGTTGGCGCAATGCAGAAATGTAGCGATTAATCCGACGTCCAAAAGAGCATGATTATTGGCTTTCGGGCCAGGGGTGGAAACATTTCGGAAACGACTGATTTTGTGAACTGTTCGCGTACCGCCGTGGTAAAAGTATACCGTGCATGGCAAAATGGCACTATGCAAAACAAGCGGCGTGGCACATGTGGTGCACCACGGGCCAAAGATGGCAGAGGCGAATGAAGGCTACGGAGATGCGTTCAGACGAATAGACGTGCAACTGTTGAGCAACTGACCGTCCAGATGAACCAAGGGGCTACCAAGAGTGTATCCTCAACAACTGTTCAGCGAACGTTGCTGCGCATGGGCCTCCGCAGCAGACGCCTGGTTAATGCACCTATGCTGACTGCTGTTCATCGGTGACGAAGGCTGGAATTTGCACGCCAGTACCGCAACTAGACGTCCACAGAGTGGCAACAGGTGGCTTTTTCCGATGAATCACATTTTATGCTCCATGGGACAGATGGACGTTGGCGTATACGGCGTGAAACGTCTGAAAGCAACACCCTGCAACAATTGCCGGAAAGCTGCAGGCTGGAAGAGGGAGCGTTATGGTTTGGGGAATGTTTTCCTGGCATTCACTGGGTGCACTCATCATTGTGGAAGGCACGATGGATCAGTACAAGTACGTATCTGTCCATGCGGACCATGTCCACCCCTACATGCAAATGATTTTTCCTCAGAATGATGGCATCTACCACCAGGACAATGCGAGGTGTCATACAACTCGCAGTGCATGTGCGTGGTTCGAAGAGCATCAGGATGAATTTACCGTACTCCCCTGGCCCGCAAACTCACCGGATTTAAACCCAATCGAGAATCTGTGGGACCACCTCGATCGGGTTGTTCGTACCATGGATCCTCAACCGCGTAATCTAGCGCAGCTGGCCACGGCACTGGAGTCGGCATGGCTCAACATCCCAGTGAACACTTTCAGAAACCAAATTGACTTTCTTCCTGCACGTCTCGTAGCTGTCCGCTCTGCCAAAGGTGGTTATTTTGGCTTTTGACAGGTGGTCACATTAATGTGACTGGACTGTGTATAATAAATACTTTGTCAAAAAATATCTTGGGTAAAAAATTTTCCGGAGAAACCTACTTCTTTTTTGCTATAGTTATGTACTTATACAAATGTTCTAAAATCGAAATATATCATCAATATCAAAAGTAGAATATTGCTCTTTTCCGGAATTATTTTTCCTTGTAATAGTGAAATTTAGAAATCAAGAAAGCAAAGAGCAAAAAAAAAAATCTAATAATTTGCTAAATTTAAACACACCAATTAACGACAAACATGTATTAAAATAAATAATCCGAAGAAACTGAAACGGTAAGATATTTCCTGATTAAAAGATTTATTCGTTTAAAAATACATAAAAAGTAAATTTTAATCGACATGTTTCAAGCGCTTCAAAAATAGGCACCCAATTTCAAGACATGCCAGACATGAAAGCGAAGAAACAGAGTGATTTGAAGTGTAAAAAAAAGTTTCCAAAGAAAAATTGAAAAGGGAAGGTGATAAACAAAACTGGAAAAACCACAGTAGCCACGAAAGAAAAAAGAAAACGGAACAAGAAAAAACCACATTGGCCGATAGCATTTCCATGCGCTATGTAGGGGTTGCAAGGAACGTTATTTTTCGTTGGCAACTTTTTATTTTACTTTTCAATTCACATTTGTTTCTTCCAAAATCCCCAAATATCAAGACGAGAAAAGTTTAAAAAGCATGTAACAAAGAAATTTCATTTTTACCAGGTTTTGGGGAAGAATAAAATATTTCTGACTACCAAAATTTTTTTAACGGATACAATAAATAGTACTGCTTCTTCTCCGACAGAAATTTAATTGCAGTGAATAATTTATTGTTAAGATTAGATTTGCTACTTCTGAGAATCAATCATTATTGGAATGGTCTTACTACCAGTTATTTCTCTTTTCCGTCTCACACTCAGGCCTGGACATGAATGAGAAGAAACAAAAGTGATTTGAAATATTAAACTTAAGGTTATACCAACGAAAAATAGAGAAACAAAACTAGAAAAAATACAATAGCCAAGAAAAAGAAAATAAAACAGTGACCGAGAGTAGCAAATCAGAGTAAAATAAATTTCCATGTGCTATGAAGTGGTGATGATACTAATGTCGTTCACAAGGAAAGCAGCATTTATACGAATAAAACAAGATTCCAGGGCATCAAGATAAGCTGCTGTGACACGGATGAAAATAATTTATGCATTGTCGAAATTGAATTTATGTCCATGATTTAATGCATTTTTGAAGCGAATGAAGTTTTTAATCAGGTAATGTCATATATTAATGCATGTGTTTAACTTATTCATAATATTAGTGGTAGTTAAAACTAGTCTAAAATAACTTTATAAGTCAAACAGCGAAATAAATTGAGAAAACAAAATTTTTACAGTCACTAAGACGATAAGGTTTTCCGGAAAATGCAGAATAATTTTCCTCTATTCGGACAATTGGATTACCCAAGAATCACAGCTTCCCATGAAATAGAAAGTGATAAACAATACTCAGGGATTTAACAAAAATATAGAAACACTTCTATATTATCCCCATGTAAACAATATTTCCTTAAGCAATCCTTTTTTAAACGGTAAATCTGATGGCACTTTTTTCAACTTTTAAAAAATTGTGCTCTTTTTGAATCATGCAGAATTTGCCCGAATCAAACTGAACGTAAGAAATTAAAAGTTGATTGTCTTTTTTAATATTTCTATGAAAAAAGCAGACTTCTATGAGTATTGTAATCCTACAGAGTACTTTCGAAACTGCTACTATTAACCCCTTGGGGACGGGTGATTCAGAAAAGCATTCGTACAAAATCAGAATCAAGTTGTAATTAAATAAAAAACGGTAACTTAAATGTAGTCGTTGCTAATTGGACAGACTTACTTTGCTTTTACTTTAATTATTGTTAGTTTAATCATATATATAATCAATGTTAATTCAAAGTATAACTAAATAGTTTTATTTCGAACAAAGTATTGGTGAATTAAATAAATCAAACAATTATAACTCCGCCCGCAAATAAACTGTTAAAGAAATACTTTGATTACCAGTTTTATATTTTTACCCTGATTGATATGGTTTTATGCTGTCACGTATTTGTGACAGTCGGCGCGAAAGGGTTAAAGCTAATAAAAAAATGATTCACTTCCCCTCATTCAGGTTGATCCGAGCCTTGCAGAGATGCCAACTTGTTCCGGACAGCAAATACTTGTATATATTTTAAAGTGGTAGTTTATCAATTGTGATTCTTGGTTTTATTAACTCAATTTAGTAGATTTTTATCCACGACTATTTCTAAATAATTTGTAAGTTTATATAATTCTCCACTTTATTGCTCAAGAGCCATGCCATACCTTGTAAAAAGCAAGCAATTATAATCAAATATTTGCAAAATTTACTTTGTAGTTATTTACTGTTTTTTTTAAAAATTATTTTGGCGTATCCAGAGCAGTTGGCATCTTTGGCCTTGCACGGAGTAAATGGACATCTTTCACTTAAGGCTTCAAGCATGATCTTTCAAACAGTGCCAAATGTTTTGCGATGTTAATCTTCCAACAAAAATTTTTTATTACAGTCGCTGAACTGCCGACCCGATTTTTGAGTTTACGACAACCTATGTTCAACTCCGTAACCTTGTAATTTTGAACCCAATCCAGGAAACAAGGAAACTCCTGGATCAAGTATCGGGGGAAATTTGCCTTCGTGTAGAACTTTTTGACGGAACTAACCGCCATTTCGTTTGCATGGAGAGAAGAACCACGAAAGCTTCCCATGGTTAGCTTGACGGCAAGGAGACCCATGATCTCTCTGCCACTAAGGATATTTTACGTCAGAACTGTGGCCAGTGTGAGCCGGGTGTGGAATTAGTTTCGATCAACCATGACTGGGATTCGAACCGTGGGCACCCAATTGGGAGACGATCGCTCTATCCACTGAGCCACCACGGCTATGGCGAAATATTTATAGCAAAAAGAAAGTCTTTTTACGTAGAGTTAGTATAGAAGCGTTTCTATATTTTCTTCCGACACCTCGATGCTTGAATACAACTCAGTATTTCTGATGTTTTTCATTATTGAACATTTTTCTTAGGTTCCTTATTTTTGAACTTAATATCCTCCCTTTTATTCAAATTTTAAATTTTTTGTACCTATATTTTTAAACATTTTTTTCGCAATGTAACTTGCTTGATTATTTTTCAGTTATAAAGGAGGTAGCTGACGAAGTACTGAGCACATTTGGAGTGCACAATGATGATGGAAGTGATGTACAGACACAAACTGTGGTACACCATCACCATCACCAATCATAATTGAACTGCGTTCGTATTATTCTCCAAATCAAACTGGATATTTATTTCGGATTAAAATTAATTGACTACTGAAATATTATTGATTTTTTATTGTTGTAAAAAGACTTTGTAGAATGAAATAAAAATTACGCTTTTATTAATATATTTCAACTTAATGATTCATTATGAAAACAAACTGTTTAAATTTATCTGAAAAAAATATTAAAATGCGTTGCCTTATTTTTCTCAGATTATTCTGTATTTTGACCAATAGATGGAACTTTTCGTTAACTTTAAAGTTAATTTCTTATTTTTTTAAGACAAGATACAATACAATCATAAAGATTCAGGTTAAAACTTTGATATTGAACAAAGAAAAATGAATATAATTGGGTTTATGCTAATTAATAAGTAAAAAAGAAACTTTCTAATTATGTACCTAACATTACATATGTCATGTATTTTATCTTCAGTGTAAATGCGCCTTGCGGCGACTCAACTCAACTCCACCTTTTGTTATCCCGCGCTAGTCAGTGTTGTTCAGCTTTAAACGTAACAAGATGTAAACCTCACCTTCTCCCTAATAAAATATGATTTACCTTGATTCTTGTATATAATAATTTGGCGACGAGGATAAAAGAATAATAATGACGGAACTCAATTAATTACAACTCTTCAAGAATTTGTTCAATCAGTAAAATCAACACCAGAATCGAAACGAAGCCCAAAAGATGTCATCGCTACTCAAAATTTATCATTCGATCCTTTTGATGCCGCTGTCGAATCCTTTGATTGTTATTCTCAACGACTTGAAAATTATTTCAAATTAAAAGGACTGTCAGCAGATGATCCAGAAACAGAAGAATTAAAGGTACTCGTATTAATTAACTGTCTAGGCTCACGACAATACCAGCTGCTTTCGAGTCTTACTGCACCGGATATTCCGTCGACAAAAACATTTCAAGAACTGCTATTGCTTTTAAAGAAGCATCTATCACCGAAACCGAATGTTCTTACCGAACAACATAAATTTTTTTTCTAGACATCAACATCAAGGTGAGTCGATTTCTACTTTCGTTTCTTCATTGAAAGATTTAACAAAAATGCTGAATTCAAATCTGAATGTAATTCTAATAACTGTTCTAAATCTATGTTAAACTTATTATTACGATCACAATTTATCAGAGGTTTAGCTGATGCCGATATTCGTGAAAAATTATTGCAACAAGGTGATGCTGCATTTGATAAAACTATTGAAATTGCCTTAGCAATTGAAGCTGCTAAAATCGAAAATAAAGAAGTTTATAAGAGTAATTATCCTAATTTCATTGATAAAATATCAAGTGGCTATATAAAGAAAAAGTTCAATAGTAATTTTCGAAATTCTTAAAACGAAAGTAAACATCAAAACAGAAGTAGATCAAAATCGCCTATGAAAAATAAAAGCAGCATTAACTTTAAAGAACTTGGATTAGAGGGATTATGTTTACATTGTGGAAAAACAAATCATAAAACTCAAGATTGTTTTCTTAAAAATAAATTACGATGTAAATCTTGCATGAAACGAGGTCATTTAGCTAACGTGTGTATATCAAAACAGTTCAGAAATAGATCTAGAAATCGAAATATAAATCAAATAACAGATGATTCTAATGAACTAAGTACTAACGTAAGTCAAATTTGTGATGTATTTTTGAACGATTTCAATCATGATGACAAAATGTATGTTCCAGTTAAATTGAATAGCATTGAACATCGCTTTGAATGCGATTCCGGAAGTAAGGTTAGCATAATAAATAATGACGAATTCAAAAAATTATGTCTGAATGTTCCGATAAAAAAAACGAATGTATCTTTTAGAAGTTATACGTGACAAATTTTTAAGCCTCTTGGTGTTGCTCAGATTAAAGAATCATGTCAAAATAAATCTAGCTTTGAAGATTTGGGTGTTGTTTCGATAAATAAAAATTCTATATTAGGGCGTGATTGGATTAGAAACTTGAATATTAATTTAAATGATCTTCACATTATTTCTGCACAAAGTGCAAGTATTAAACCCAGCATTTCTTCTACTGATTTTTCTATACAGAAAATTATTGATTCTTTTTCTGATGTGTTTGAACCTAAAATTGGTTGCATTCCTGATTATACTTGTACACTAAAGCTAATTCCAGATGCTAAACCCATTTTTATTAAACCACGTACTGTACCGTATGCTTTAAAATCAAAAGTAGAACAAGAATTAGATAAATTAGAAGCGGAAGGTGTAATAGAAAAAATAGACGTATCAGAATGGGGTACACCCCTAGTAGTTGTCCCAAAGCATGATGGCACAATTCGTATTTGCGCAGATTTTAAAGTTACAATTAACAGTCAGCTTCAAAATGCCAGACACCCAATTCCTAGAATTGAGGACATTTTCAATAAATTACGTGATGGGAAATTTTTCTGTACGCTCGATATCCACAAAGCATATTTACATTTGAAAGTCTATGAAGAAAGTGCAAAATATCAGACTCTTTCTACTCATAGAGGTACATACTTAGCAAAAAGATTATTTTTCGGAATAAAAACTGCACCAAATGAATTCCATAGATTTATCGATCAGTTTGTCCAAGATTTGGATGGAACTATTGCCTACTTTGATGATATTATCATCCAAGGAAAAGACAAACAAGATTGCCAGCAACGTTTAATTAA